TAAATGCAAAAAAAAATAAAATAAAACTGCAAAAAAAATGACAAATGAAAGTGCACAATGCAAGACAGAGAGAGGGGGGGAGAGAGAGGGGGAGAGAGAGAGGGAGGAGAAAGAGGGGGGAGAGAGGGAGAGGAAGAGAGGGGGGAGAGAGAGAGGGAGGGAGAGAGAGAGGGAGGGAGAGAGAGAGTCGGTGATTCTCCCCCTCCCCAGCTTGCACAGAAAAGCAGCCTGGAATCGAGCCTCTCCAATCGAAAGGGCTATAGGTGGACTAGAGGTCACAGCGGAGCCAGAGCTGCTGCTTCTGCTGCTGCAAGAGGAGCAGCAGGCATGGCTGGGGCACTCCCTGGGTGACCCCATGCCCCACTAACCAAAATCTTCCAGCTACACCCCTGCTACCACTTGACAGCATTTCCCACCACCACCACCATGCTGGTAGCCTTCACTCCATCCATTGGCAGTGAATCCCCCAGTTTAATTACTTGTCGATTAAAGTGGTACTCTGTGCCTGATTGGAATGACCTGTGCCTCCGCACGTAGCTCTTATACAAGGGTGCCTCTCAAAAGGACTGTGCCCTACGGGCTCAGTCTCTCCTCTTTGCCACTTGTAGAGGTCATGTGTGACACTTGATCACCCATCACCGCTGCTTAGGGAAGGTGGCTCCACCGGGATCCTCCTCCTCTGTTCCAAGGTGGTAAAAGGAGACATAGTCCTGGGTGGGAAGCCTGCAGCCCGGCAACTGCGGACCTGTTTACCAGCAGTCAGGGGGGAGGGAGGCTGGAGGCAAGGGCTGAGGAAAATCCAGAAGAGCTTAATGAGAAAAGGAGCTTGGACGGGATGCCACCCAGGGGTCATTTAGTAGAAAAAGAGGTGCAGGAGCTCATTAGCATAACTTATTAGCATACCTTATTTGCATATGCCACACCCCCTGACATCGCCGGAAGTGTGTCAGAAGGCAACACCCACCGCTCAGGCTCCACTGGACTGTTTTGGATTGCTAGCTATTGGGGGGGTAAACCCGCAGATCTGCCCTCACAGAGGAGGGAGAGCTTGTACCTGAAGGCGGGCCGGGGGGGGGGCTCTGCAACTTACCTGGCTGCTTCTTGCTCCTTGTGGCTCGACTGAGGGCTGCTGGGAGCAGGGGGTGGGGCTTGTTGCACGTGCCCACCGCCTGGGCTCCTTACTGCCGGAGCTCCGCTCCTGTGCGCTCCCGCAGGAAATGACCCCTGATGCCACCAATGCTCCCTCTAAGAGGTAGGGTCTTGTGAGCAAAGATTCCACTTTGTGTGATCCACTGGCATTCAAGTTGTGAGCAAGCAATTTGGCCCCGGCATAAATTAGTTTGCGCTGGAGCCTTACTTCCTGAGCGAAGGCAAAAACTCGTGAGCCGGAGGCTAAAAAACTGTGAGCTAGCTCCACACTAACTCAGCTTAGAGGGAACACTGGATGCCACCACAGGGCTCATTGGAACAATTGCTAATTCCTTGTGCTTTACCATTATGCATACGCCACCTCAAGGCCCTTCAGAACTGAGAGGGGACGACAGAAATAAGTGAATAAGTAAATCCAAGTTGCTATCTGGGGTGGCTGTGTCATCACGTCTCAAGGAAGAGTCCCTTCCTGTTGCAGCAATGATTTGTTCTATCTCCACTGCTAAGTATGGTCCAGTATGCTGTAGTGGTTAGAGTGTCAGGCTAGGGGATCTTCCACATTCTTATTTTCCTTGCTTGGACATACTGTTTCTTCGGGGTGTGTGTGTGTGTGTGTTTCTGTTCTGCACGTGTCTTTGCTCCCTCTAGTGGTCAATTCAATATTGCATTGCTTTATGTCCGGCATAAAAACCTGTCGTTTAAATCTGCATGGAGATATGCTGGACGTAAACCAATGTAATATCAAATTGACCACTAGAGGGATAAAAAATGTGTGGAACAGAAACCCCCCTCTTCGAAGAAACAGGAACTTACAATTGAAAAAGTGAGAGTGTGGAAAAGCCCTGGGATCTGAGAGAACCAGGAGGATCTAAGAGAACCAGGTTCAAAGTCCCACTCTGCCATGGAAGTTCACTGGACAGGTGACCCTGGGCCAGTCGCACACTCTCAGCCTAACCTACCTCACAAGACTGTTGTGAGGATAACATGGAGTAGGGGCAAATGATGTTATAAGTGGCTCCCCATTGAGGAGAAAAATGGGCTCCAAATGTCTACAGAAATAAATATCACTGCACAAAACTCAACCCAATGAAGAAAGGGGGGAGAACTTCCAGAGTTCATTCACTGCATGCAAAATCAGACTTACCGACTTTTGTGGATGAGACCATCTCAAAGCAATAATTCTCATCTCCAGAGCAAGCGGTTTTTTCAGTAACACAACTTCCGTTGGTAGAGAAGCAGGCCGGGCACTGTATTCCATTTGTGGCATTTTCCATTGGCACCACTGGATGCAGGACAAAAAGGGAGTTAACACGAGGACCAGGAAAGTGGAAACGGAGGTACCAAAAGTGTTGTTAAATGCATTTAAGTCAGAGAATCCTTCCTCTTGTAACTTCACACTTTCATCTCCGTTCGAAATGGCTAAGCCTTGGGGCCAAACAATGCATAGGATTCCATTGTTCTTTTCACATCCCAGACAACACACCTGCTGGGTTTTGGCAGGTAGTGCCTGTTAAGTGGGAGAGGCAGTTCAGGGAGGAACGTTTAAGAAGCCTTCCTCTTCCCTCCATACCAATGACCAACCTTCCTCTTTTAAACAGCAGTCCCAGCAGCTGAACAGAAATTTTAAAACATCTGCAAAAAGAACCATGGACTTCTATGCAAAGTGTTGTTCTACCCCAACCAACCCTCTCATTTAGAGAAGAACTTACCATAGTCCACTTAAAGGTGTGTGTTGTGTGTGTGTGTGTGGGGGGGGAAGCAGCCAACTTAGTCATATACATTTCAGGCGAGCCATAGATTGATTAATCTATTAAATCAACATTCATTTTCATCTAAGGAAAGCAAACCAGTCAATTTAAAGAAGAGAAGGAAAAGGAGAGGGAGGAGGAGAAGGAGACAGAGAAGAAGGAGTAAAAGGAAGAAGAAGAGGAGGAGGAGGAGGAGGGAGATTGGATTTATACCCCACTCTTCACTTGGAGTCTCAGAACGGCTTACAATCGCCTTCCCTTCCTCTCCCCACAATAGACACCCTGTGAGGTAGGTGGGGCTGAGAGACCTCTGAGACAACTGCAGAGCCAGTTTCGTGTAGTGGTTAAGTGCGCGGACTCTAATCTGGGAGAACCAGGTTTGATTCCCCACTCCTCCACTTGCACTTGGCTGGATGGCCTTAGGCAAGCCATAGTTCTGCTAAGAGCTGTTCTTGAAAAAGAGCAGTTTCTGTCAAGAGTTCTGGCCCGTGGGTAGCCATGTTGGTCTGAAGCAGCAGAACAAAGTTGGAGTCCAGTGGCGCCTTTAAGACCGGCAAAGTTTTATTCAATAAGGGCACCACTGGACTCAAACTTTATTCTGGTGCCTACATGCATTACTCTAGTTCATCTAATCTCCTGAAGAGGGTACTATAGCTCAACTTACGAGGTTTCTTTCTAGTACAGAACTCGGTAGCAGGGTTTGTACCTGGTGATCACAGCTCATCCTGCAAAACTGGTTTCATTTCCTGCCTTGTACGAAGCTCTTGGAGGAAATTACTCTGCAGCATCCTCTCAGTTCTAACGGGAATGATCATATTCCCCTGGTCTCCATCCTGATGGAGTCTCATGTCTCATTACACCTTGTCAAAGATCTCCCAAAGGAGACAAGAGAATGCTTCCTCCACCCTTGTCATTTTAAAACATCCCCCTCACATCTGGCACTCTCCTGTGTAGCATTTAAGATATATATGACACTAGAGAGTCATCTAATAAGAATACATTAGAGAGTCTGACTGAATCCTTGGTTGTAATTTTCCTGGGGCTTTTGAAGCTCAGAGCCCCCCCCCACACACACATCTGGGGCACGGGGGGCAGGAATCATCTGGTGTCCATACTTGGAGTACCCTGAGGAACTTTATTAAACTCAGGGGGCATTTCATCAATGATCATTAAATTGTGGGGCCAGAGAGGCACGCACCCGTGGATTTCTTTTTTAAAAATCTAGTCTCCATGGTTTCGCCAACACTGATCTGCTGATCACAAGCCCGATGGTTCAAGTTTCAATCCCACAAACAGTTCAGAGGGGAGCCGCTTGAATAATCAAATCTAATCCAATGAAATCACCCTTAATTTTCACAAGCACAAGTAGTCCCAATCTTCTCTCTCTCTCTCTCTCTC